GGTAATGGGCAATTTATGAAGGGTAAAGACATGGTACAGGACTTCATTGTTAATATTCAGGGCCACAATATTTGCCTTTCTACTTATGTTTTACCAATCACCGGTTCTAATTTGATTATAGGCGCCTCATGGTTGGCGACTCTGGGTCCCCATATCGCCGATTACAGTATAGCGACTATTAAATTTTATTTAGAAAGGGAATTCATTATATTTAGGGGATATCAGTCATCTGAACCATTGCCCCTATAGCTCCATCATATGCAATGATTCTAATCCACAAATGCTATGCAAGAATGCTTTGCTCTAATGTGTTTTTCTACGACCACTAGTGACTCTATTCAATTTCCTTCTCATCTACCACAAGACTTATTGTAGTTACTGTGAGAATTTGAGTTGGTTTTTATGGAACCTCAAGGCCTACCACCACCTCATTGCCATGATCATGCGATTCCATTACAGAATGAGGTTTAGGCAGTCAAGGTATAGCTGTATCGCTACCCTTTTAGCTAAAAAGGAGTTATCAAGCAGATGGTGAATGATATGCTAACTCGAGGCATCATTCAACCCAGTATAAGTGCTTTTTCTGCCCCTGTCTTGCTAGTAAAAAAAAAAAAAAGGATGGTACCTAGAGATTCTGTATTGCTTATAGGGCCTTAAATGTGGTGACAATAAAGGATTCTTATCTAATTCCTATAGTGGACGAGTTGCTGATGAACTTCAAGGTGCTCAATTCTTTACTAAACTCGATCTTCGTTCTGGCTACCATTAGATATTGGTAAAGCCTGCAGATAGGCATAAAACCGCTTTCCGCACTCACCATGGGTTGTATGAATGGCTTGCAATGCCATTTGGACTCACAAATGCTCCGGCCATTTTTCGAGCCCTTATGAATGACATTTTTCACCCTTATCTCCATTGGTTTGTCTTGGTATTTTTTTGACTATATTTTAATTTACAGCATGAGTTGGTCATCACTTTTGGAGCACCTGCAGTAGTTTTAAATTGTTTATTGGAGCATCAATTATTTGCTAAGCTATCCAAATGTACTTTTTCCTGTGACTGTATTGAATATTTGGGACATGTGGTATCAGTGAATGAGGTGGAGATGGACCCTGTTAAAATTGCAGTAGTTCAAAATTGGCCAGTTCCTTCTACTATGTCCTAGCTGAGAGGTTTCCTTGGCCTCACAGGTTACTATCAATGGTTTATCCAAAATTATGCTCATATTGCAGCTACTTTAACAAATTTACTTTAGAAGGATGCATTTCAATAGACCCCTAAGGCTCAATTAGCTTTTGATAGATTGAAGCAAGCTTTAATATCGGCCCCGGTACTAGCTATGCCTGATTTTTCAAAGCCTTTTATCATCGAGGTTGATGCATCCGGGTCTGGGGTTGGGGTAATGATGAGTCAGGATAATCATCCCATTGCATTCCTTTCAAAGAAATTGTCACCCAGAATGAGGTCCTGTTCTGCGTACATCCAGGAATTATATGCTCTAACTGAAGCGGTCTCCAAATTTAGAAATCATTTGGTGGGACATAAATTCATCATTCGTACATACCACCAGAGTCTGCAGCATCTATCTGATCAAATAATTCAAACCCTTGAACAAGAGGCTTGTTTACCAAAGCTACTGGGATATGACTATAAAATTGAATATAAATCAGGAAGATCTAATGTTGCTGCTAATTTGCTCTCACAGTTAGTTATGGCTATCTCTTGTGTCACTAATGATCTGTTCACTTAGATCCAAGCATCAATTGTTGCCTTAACAGAAGTTCAAGATTTAAAACAGAGGGTCTTAACTAAAACAATTTCTGACTCTGGATTTAAAATAGTCGATGGTCAATTGTTTCATTCCTTCAGAAGATAAGGACCTTCTTCAAGTCATTCTTCACGAGTTTCACAGTTCGAAAATTAAGGGGCATTACAGAATTGTTAGAACTCACGCCCGTATAGCTGCTGAATTCTGGTGGAAGGGTATGCGCAATGATATCAAGAAATTTATTGCTCAATGCAACATTTGTCAACAAGCTAAGTTCTTATCTTCCTCCCCTTATGGCTTACTACAGCTGTTACCTATTCCATAATAGGTTTGCGAAGATATTTCAATGGATTTTATCACAGGACTTCCTACATCTTTACTGTGATTTTTGTTGTGGTTGACTGTTTGTCTAAATTTGGCCACTTCTTACCTCTCAAATCATCTTATACTACGGAATCTGTTGCTGCCACATTTATTGAACACAATGTTAAATTACATGGCTTTCCCAGGTCCATTGTCTTGAACCATGACCGCATATTTACTAGTGCTTCCTAGCAAGCTTTATTTAAGATGCAGGGGACCTCCTTATGTCTGTCATCGACGTACCACCTACAGAGTGATGGACAAATAGAGGTTCTTAACCAGAGTCTTGAGATGTATCTACAGTGCTTTATCCACCAACAAACTCACCTATGGGTCACCTATCTATCCTGGGCACAATACTGCTACAACATATCCTTTCATACTTCAATAGGAATGACTCCCTATAAGATAGTGTTTGGGAGGGACCCTCCCTTGCTAATACAGCTGGACTAATCTAAAGCTACCCCCTGGCACTCAAGGATCAATTGCTTTTTCGAGAGCACCTATTGTCACAACTTTAGCTTTAATTAAGAAAGGCTCAGGATAAAATGAAGCCGTATGCTGACCAACACCGAACTGATAAAGAATTTGTTGTGAATGATTATGTCTTTGTTAAGCTTCAACCGTACTGATAGCATTCTATTCGAGCGCATACCTATAACAAGCTGTCCACGAAGTACTTTGGCCTATATCACGTTACTGAGCGTATTAGAGTAGTGGCTTATCAATTGCACTTACCTCTCGACATTAAAATTCGTCCAATTTTCCACGTTTCTATGTTGAAAAGGTGTCATAGGGATCCTCACGCGGAGTATCATCCATTACCACCATTAACGGATCTCACTGGCCCTCTCCTACAACCTCGCACAATTCTGGAGGTTCGAAGAGTTAAGATCAGAGATAAATGGATGAATCAAATCTTGGTCCAATGGGACGCTTCTGAACAACCTACTTGGGAAAATGTGGATTCCTTTAAAAGGGAGTATCTAGCCTTCGACCTTGAGGACAAGGTCACTTTTAATGGGGGAGCTATTGTTATGAATGGGCCAAGTAAGCAACTAGATTTAGGTCCAAATAATAGCAGTGGGCCGCAAGTGACCAATGAAGATGGTGAAAGGCTCCGCAGAGGTACCAGGGTCCGAAGGGCCACATGGAAAGTGAGAGAGAACGAAGCATAAATGGGAGTGGATGGGTAGAAAACGAGCAAGGATGATTTTATGAAGATTCTTCCCCTGTCCTCTCTGATATTGTTCTCTGTCTTATTCCTTTTCTGTTATTCTGGTATTCTGTGACGTTTCTTTTGCTTGCCTGCTTACAGTTTATCTACCAGATTTTCTGTTTTGCTGGCTGCCCTTTGTGATGCCGAAGACTCTGTATTGCACTTTCATTACTTTTGAATAATACAGAGTAGTATATCTCAACATTTCCCTGGTTGCATTTGTCGTAATTGTTACATTCATATCAGTTTCGTAAGATGATGATGATGATTCCATGATGTGGTAGTGCCACCTCGCTCAGTGGTGTGTGGTTTTTCATATATATAAGAAGATGATGGAAGACCCACAATCTCCTACTGCTGCTCGTTCTCTTTCAGCCCTTTTTTCCCCTTCAATTTCTCCCAAATTTTTTACAATAAAATCTAAGATAATGGGATATCATATTTTTCAAAAAAATCAAGCAGTTAAAATAAATCACAAAAAGATGATATTTTTGCCCTTTTTAGCAATATTTTCATCCAATCACAATTAATCCAAATTAATCATAATAAATGCAATGGAGCCCAATTTAATTGATAAAAATTCCGAATAAGATATGGAAAATCAATATACTTTCAATAGCATTGAAAATTAACTCATTGTACAATTATTTCAAAACAAGGATAACTTAATACATGTTGAAAGAATGGGCTCATTGGAAAATTTGATTTAGGTGCATGGGTACTCTAGTCATGGAAAATTAGTTCTCATGATTCTATGGATATATAGAGCAGCTTCATATTGAAGACGACTCTGATCCATATTGAATACCAGGAAATAAGGAACATATAATAACCGCGGCAGTGCTGCTTCCTTTATATTGAATGGAGAGTTCGCAGCAAGTTTATAATAGCCGATCATATCAAATTTAATTACGTAGATTTCGTATTTTTTAAAATCGATCCCTCCATTCTTAATTATAATTATCTTTGAATTTTTAAAAATTTATAATATAATGTGTCATACAAATTGATTAGAAAACTTAATCGGTAAATGAATCTCATGACTAATCTGGTTAAGAGTTTTGGACAGACTAATGAAGTTAGATTTTATATTTTCTCTCTCTTCTGTCATATTTGGTTTTAGTAATTCCATTTTGCTAGATTAGGTGTGATTTGTATACGACTAATATTTCATTTACTTGTGAATTAATGTCTTTAAATTTAAATATTACTTTTTTGGGATTAGGTATGAATTTTTATATATCTTGATCAAATTATATTATTTTAAACATGATAGATTAGAATTTGGTTGATATTGGTTTGAACCAACTTATCCTCGAAACCATTGCCTCCAACAATTCGATGATCTGTCCAATTTTCAGTACCTATTGTAATAATGGTTTTCCACTTTTATGTATAAATATTTTCATAAGTGATTTTGTAAATTATTGGTTGGAAAAGAGTTGATATTTTATACCTAATCATACTTGGCTCTATATTATGTTGTTTGTGATAAAGAAAACGAAGAATAATGATCAGAATTATTATTATTATTATTATTTTACAGATGGTGCTACATTAAAGACTGAATAAAATTACCAAAGGGAACATAAATTTTCAAGGACAGAAAACTAAAATATACTACCAAGCTTCAGACGTAGATTGCTACTTTTATACAACCTGGAGGATGGAACATACAGTTTGAGTGATGGTGAGAGTGAGAAGTATGATTGCAGCAATAGAAGCCACAGTTTGCCAAGGTGTGTTGCAGTAATCTTTCCTCAAAGTTGCCTTTCTCTTGTGCCAAGGATCTTCATAAAACTCATTCAACCTTTTGGAAATGTCAAGGTGCTCTTTATTAAAATTGCAGTGAGTTATCTCTTTTCTAAGACCGTTAAACAATGTAGCGACCTCTTTGGCATCACCTAGCCAGTTGCTGATAATCTTTTCATGAGCGAGAACCTCCACATCTTTTTGTGTCAACTAGGTTGTCCAATACAAACATATAGTCACAAAAATATGTTTCAAATGGATAATGACACTGTTCTAAAGCCATCACATTTCGGAACAAAAATTCAGTCGTATCTTCGACACATATTGGAGGGATCTCTAGAACTGATCTTGAAAATTTCAAGTCTAGTAAGCATTTGTTTGTGCTTACTTTCAACTTCACTCCTGCCTCTTTTAACTCATTTGCACTATACCTAAGCATATCGGATCCATCCTCGTTGATGGAATCCCTTCCTGGTTGGGTTATTGGTAAGTAAAATAATCTGAGAAGATCTGTGAAATGCTCTATCTTATGATCAGGCTCTAACTTTTGCTTGTTAAGATAGTCAAAGCAGGAATATGTAAGCTCAAGAAATGAAGGGAGATCACCTCTACGGTTATGAGGAAAGGCTATATCGTATAGCTCTTCAAGGAAAAAGAATGGAAGTTGATTCTCAAGTAAAAGCAAATCATCAAATATATCCTCCGTTAACTGTGATTGTGATAGTTTACCATCGTGTTTCATGTGACGTCTCTTTTTCATCACAAAGAGTTGAATGATGAAAGCAGAATCCACTAATATCAATTTCACATGATCCTTCTTGTCATAGTTAATGCTCTCAAAATAAGAAGCACGGACCTTTGACTCAGATTGTTTAGCTAAGTCAACCAAACTGTCCAAGTTTGTCATAGCATTTCGTGCAAATCTTTTAAACATTATTTCTTTGTGCCTCTCCATTTCTTGGAGCCTCTCATCACCGTGATGGAAGGGACCAATGGAAACCACCTTAGGAGTGTAAGCCTCCTCGTTTAGAAGACGGATCTTTGTGGGCACCCTGTAGATACAACACAAAGGTGACAAGAGACCTTCGTCGCTAATCTCTAGCAATGCTTTTATGTCTATGCTGATCGCCTCATCTGCCGTCTATATATCAATTTAGATTCAGAAGGACACCAGAAATTACATATTAGCAAAGTAATGAAGGTGAACATAAAGCTTGGGAAATATAAATGTTTCTTTTCTTAATAACTGAACTGTAATCTCATCACCGTTTGTTAAGAATAATTAAGAAAAGGATAAAAAAAGGCTCCAATGAATCTAACGAGGTGCAAGCAAATTAAAGGCAGTGTAACAAAATTAACAGAAGCCATCACTAATGAAATGCACGAGATGCATATACTTGCAATCTGACAAGTATATATCTTTGAATGGTGAAACAACATGGGGCTAATAGAGTCTAATAATTAAGGAATTATATAAACAGAAGCAACCTTAAAAGTAGTAAGCACAAAGAAACTTGAGAAGCAAGAAAAGGCTTCAAAATCAAAGAAAGAGTTAGCAAAGGATAATGCATAAGTGTTGTTGTTGCAAGTGATTGGAGGATAAATCCGCTGGCTGAGGTGAGAGAAGTGGTCTCTTCAGCTCCACCATTTGTTGAGCATTCTCAGAGGCCATTTCTGTTTGATTCATTCCATTAGGCATTTCCCAGTGAATCTCAGTATGGATTGCTTCTGCCATCTAAACTTAGTCAACAAAACAACAGATCCACACGATAATGATAAGAAAGTCGATCTGCTGTACTCAGCAACCCACAACGTTAAGTCTCAAACAATAGAAAGGAATAAATAGGCGCTGCGTGTCTCGGCTGAGGCGTCTCAAGTCAATTTTTTTCCTGTTTGATTTGGCAGTGGCGTTTATAATTGATTTCTTGCTTGTACGATTACTTAATATAATAATGAGCTAAGTCAATTGCATTGGTTGGTGCTTAGGGTCACATTAAAATTTTATTTTGCCTCAAGCCCAAACAAAGACTCCAAAAGAGCCTGTAGAAATATGACTTCATTGCAGTAGAAACCACCCACGGCACACTTCAGAGAGATATATATACATATATACATAAATCGGACAAATGGAGGGAGTTTTGGTGTTGCAGAAGCTGCAACAAGTGGCTTCAACGTGTGGAAGTTGCAAGAACATGGATTGGATTTGATGGAAAACCACGTCGATGGAAAAGCAGCTCAATCAAGAAACTGATTAAATAGGTGAGAGAGATACATGCCACAGTCAATTATAATGGTTTAATATAATTGATTTTGGCACGTTAAGGGTATTTGGATATTTTTCATGAAAATCATTTTAACTAATTTTCTTAGTATTATAAAACGCCTTGTTTTCTGTCGTCATTTGGCTTACGTCTAGCCATACATTTAATTTAGTTTCATTTGATTAAGTAATCATGATCTAATGAATAAAAGATAAACAAATTTAAAGAAACATTGAGTTAACTCAAGATCTATGAAAACTCCCATGTTGTACGAAATAAACTATAAAAACTAAGTTAGTCCTCAGACGTTAGGGAATAATTTTTAACATGTTAAAACTATAGACACCAAGTTAAGCAAAGTCAAAATTCATGGATCGAGTTTTTAAATAAGTTATAAAATTGTGGAGATTGAGTTATAACATTTCAAAATTTAATAACTGAGTTTTAATTGTATCAAAATTATCGGCATCAAATGATTAATTTTTGAAAAGGAAAATATTTAAAATGATGTGTTCTTAAAAGAAAGGAAGAAATTCATCTTTCTGTGATTCTTTTGTGCTGATGATATTTTTTTAAAAAAAATATTAAACATATGTGACAGTTCATTGGATCATTTTTTTATTTCATGGTAATAATCGATTTGTTTTCTGGAGAATTATTCTTGGACAATTAATGATAAGTAGTCATTAGTCCACTACTTCTGAATTTATATTGTTTGAATGGTAAATAGTGCTAAATACCTTTTAGTTTCTAATCTGTATTATGTAAACGGTAAATACTTATCATTTGCGTTAACTATGTGAATAATAAGTTTAAGAGTCTTTTAATAATTAATCTGTGAATTTGGTGCTTAGTATAATTCAGTCTTTAGTTTTTTTTTTTTTTTCGGATGCCATTTTTGTTTGTTGTGTTTTAACGGGTCACGAATCAATGTCTTTTTCTCTCCTATCGAAAGCCAACGAATTATATAGTAAACATAAAATTATATTTATTACTAGGTACTAAGATGAGAGAATTATATAGTAAACATAGGTACTAAGATGAGAGAATTATATAGTAAACATAAAATCAAATTGTATTATTCAATGTTTCGTGCAAGATTTAAAATTTGACTTTTGCAAATATTTATTACTTTATATTGATCATAGGTGGCTAGATAGGAAAGAAAATGATATTAATGGTACATAATTGTTATTTGAAGGGGGAAAAAATAAGTTGAAGCTTGAAGATGAAAATTATTTTAGTTGTTTTTAATATCTTAGAAATATTTGAAACGATTGAAAATTTAAATCACATTAAAATAAAACAATAAGTAAAATAAAATAATCATAAAACATAATTAAAAAAATAATTACTCATCTAGTCCTCTTTATAAGGTAGAAAGAGAACGTTACTTTTGGTATTATTTATAAGTTACCCCATTAAATTTTTAGCATGAATATATTATTTTATCTGTAGTATATATATTAATTAATAGTAGAGTTGCTTATTAAATTTGAAGGCAGAATTAATAAAATTTAAGATTTTTTTAGTTCAAATGAAACATATTGGAAATAATTTACAAATAAAATCTGAAAATCCAGTACTCATTTCATCCCTTGTTATAAGATTCAATTGATTCGTCCCCTTTATATAAGATCTGCTTTGGGTTTGTCTAAACTCTAGAAAATTAATAGATAATATATTTTTACCCATTTTACCCTTAATTAATATACTCCTCTGATTCTTAATATAAGACTCATTTAACTAATTTGATTAGATTAAGAAAGTTAGGTAAGTTAGTTAATTATAAGAAAAGTGACATATTTTTGCTAAAACACCATAATCATCTTTCTTAATACCCCCTCTCCCTCTTGTACTTGATTATGGTTGAGGGAATATCCATAGGGGTAATTTAGAGAAAATTGATAAATATGAGAAATAGATCTTATATTTATGACCAAAATCAACTCAAAAATTAGGTCCTATATTAAAGACTGGAGGAGTATTTTGCTAGCTATCTTTTTCCCACACATTCTCTGACAAACTCGATTATTTTTATATATTTTGGTATCTTTTATATGAGTTTTGTCAGCTTAATTGGTCCCTTTTTGCCTTAATTGATTTATTTTTTTTTATTTTGAATTATTATTTTATAGGGGCAAAATTGTCATATTTTGGTTTAATTGTGACTAATTAATTTTTGAGGACAATTAATGCTACCTTATCCTTGAATTTTGCTTGCAGGTTCTTGGAAGATTCAAAAATATAAAAAGAAAAAAAAGGAAAAAAATAAAAAAAATAATAATAATAATTAGGGGGGCAAAACGTTGCGTTTTGCCCCAACCTAATTATCATCTATTATTATCATCTTCATCCGGGAAGCTGGGGGCGAGAGGAGACAGACACAAACGAAGCGGAGCGGCGGCCGAACGAGCTGAACGCACACACGCAGAAGACGCAGGCGAGGCCGAACGAGCTGCACGCAGGAGACGCAAGGAGCCGGCGCCCTCATCTTCTTTCTCTCCTGGGCGCGGCTGGAGAAAGGATCAGAGAACAAGCCGCAGAGCAAGACGCCAGCTGAAAACAGAGCTGAGGTGCGGCGGACAGAGCGAGCAGACACGAGCTGGAGCGACATCATCACCTTCCTCGGTCTTCTCCGTGAGTTATTTTCGGCGTCAACAGAACCAGTGAGACCAGCGAAGCACTATTCATCATCTCCTCCTCCTCCTCAGTGACAGCGAAACAGAGGCGAGTAGCAGCGTGAACAGCAAACAGAGCAAAGGAAGGAGCTGACGGCAGGACCAGAAGCGTGAACAGGATCATCATCACCACCGTCTTCTTCACTGCCATGGCCGAGTGTAGGAGGAAACTGATAGAAGGAGATTCTGAAATCATGGCAAACTGTGGCTAGCTTCACAATTCTCTAATTCAACAATAATGGCAGGAGCTTAGATCATCAAAGGGGAGTTTTAGTTGCTTTAATTTCCTGTCTAATAATTGTTTAACAATTCCTAGGTCTTAGGATAGTTATTCTAATTATTAGAAAATTTCGTATTGTTAAATCTGATTATCTGTGGAAATTATTGTGGCTGGATTATTGTTTAGCATTTGACATTGGGCTGTTTATAGCTTTGATTTTAATTATGATGTTGTGGTTATGACATTTGTATTGATTTTGGAGTTAATATATTGTGATTTTCTAAGGTGGCTTGGAATTTTGGATCATATAGTCTCTTGCTAGCTTTAATTCTGTTATTTTGGATTTAAGAGTTCTAATTAAGCATTGGTTTTTAGCATCCTTAATCCTATTTTACTATTCTGGTTGCAGTTAGTAAGTTGGGATTTTAGGAAAATATTTTGTGGCAACTCGAGGTGGCTCGGTTGTTGGATCAAAAGCTTAATTATAATTCTTAATTCATTGTTTTTAACTCCCACATCTTTTAGAGTGATGATTGCCTGCGTTGTTGAATTGGAGGATTGATTTTTATCAGTGTTATCTGTGTCTCTCATTTTCATTTCTTTAATCTCCATTCATTTTAATCACTTTTATATAAAAACAAAAAAAAAAGTATTTTAATTTCAATTTGATTCGTAGTATTTAATTAACAGCTTTTCAAAATTGAAAATCTCTTTTTATAGTTTAGGTTACTTGCATTTATTTATTAGGGTTTAATTTCGTTTTCGGCTCCTCAAAGTGAAACGACCCGAGTTGTGCACTATACTGCATTAATTCGGTTAATTTTTGGAGTAACCCCAAAGCGACAATTAAGGGCAGTTCAACTTCATTCTCTCTCATCTTTTTTTCTTACTCACATCACACCTATTCATTTATAAATAAAGGCATATTTGGGGGGAGTACATCTCCCAGATATTTATCATTTTTACCCAATGTTAATAATTTAGCTAAAATATACGTTTAGTCTTTTAAATTTACATTAAGTTCAAGTTTAGTCCTTCAAGTTATAAAATGCATTTTCAGTCATATGATATTAAGACCGCTAAATTTTACTAACAGAAAATGCTAACATGGAAAATTTATGCTGACTTAATAATAAAATACTCACAAGGCATCATTAATTTTTTCCATACTTAAATTTTAATTATTTCATATAATTATTTTTATATTTCATCGCTACCACGGGGTGCCACACAAGAAGAGAACAATGAAACCTTAAATTAACAAAAGAATACAATTCCAATTTAAGAAAAGTATGCAACATCAATAAGAGTAAGGGTTATTGGTTGAAGAAAAAGCGAGGAGCAGCGGTCATGGTGAAGGAGATGGGTGACTCGGCTCTCTCTGCTCCTACCAATTCAAATTTATTAAATAATAATTCAAATTTAAGTATAATAAATCAGCATTGAATTTGCCATGTCTGTATTTTCCAGTAAAAGCTAACGATGTTAATATTATAGGACTGAATATGCACCCTATAAACTTAAGGGACTAAACTGAAATTCAATGCAAACTTAATGAATCAAACATATACTTTAACCTAATAATTTCCTTAAACCATGAAATATCGTTACTTAAATCTTATTATTATATGAGACACAGTGTCATCACAGTACTAACCCAAATATGAAATGTAGGGGAAGCATACTTTTACAATTTCCAAAGAAATTATCCATATGTCTAACTTAATTAGAGAATTTTATCACCACTAATTGGTGGCCAATAAACCAAGTGCCAAATTATTCCGTAGTTATACATATAGAACTAATAGTAGAAAGAAGAAACAACAACTAAAGAAATAGGAAATTTGAATCAATCTTCAACTGGATAGTGATGCCACATGAAACTTTGTTAATGTTGGGTGAATGATTTTGGTAGTGAGCAGGTAGAGTCGTCGGGATAAGATTTCGGGCTTCAAATAGTTAATATAAAGGCGTTGACTTATTGCGTAATGGATTGTGTGATTAATTAATTTAATTAGGCACTTGTTTGATCCAGAGTTCTTGTAGTCTAAAACTGTGTCTTAGACTATTTGTTGCTTCATGTGATACTCCTCCGGCCCTTATTATAAGACCCCATTTGACTTTTTATTTGGTCCTAATTATAAGACCCCAATCCATTTTGTCTCTTATATTTATGTATTTTTTTTCCAAGATAATCCTTCTAATAATAACAGTTTTAGCCAATATACTTAATTAGCAAGGATATTTTAGGAATGACAACACTTATTTATTATAAATAACCAACTTAACTTACTTTCTTAATCTCCTCAAATAAGTCAATTGGGTCTTATAATTAGGACCGGAGGAGTATTAAAGAATGTTTTTACAATATGTTCAAGGCTGTTTCTGTAATCCTATAATTATTACTAACATCTAATCTTAATGTCGTTAATTTATATATATATATATATATATTTCACTCTTTAGTTATTTTTGCTGGTGGATTGAAGTTGAGCTCATCAGCCAGGTGAAGAATACCAAATTTGAATTGTCCAAATTAAAATTTGATAGTTTGAATATAATATAACTTTATTTGTTATTTTTAATAGTTTAATATTTTAGTGTGTGTAGAATTTAAAATAAAAATTATCTCTTAAAAACTTAAAAATTTTTAAGTACTATAAAATGGTTTTTATTTAAAATTATCAGTTAAAAATTCTAAATCTAAACTATTAAAAATATATTTAGATACTATATTACGATGAGTATTAAAACTGGTTTTTTTTTTTGAACCAATGAGAGTTGTTCCAATTGATAAGAAGTCGGCTCATAAACCATACAATCGTGAGTTCAAATCCTATTGCCAATATGAAGACCTTGTTGGTGGGCGATCTGTAAGTACCTCTGTAAGTGCTCTCTAAGCCTGGAGGCATGCCTTGACTCTGGTGAGCCGCCGAGACCCAACTCACCTAAACTTTATGTAATAAAAAGAAAAAACTGGTTATTTTTGCTCCTCCAATTACATGAAAGTCAGCTGGATTTACTCTGATAGGTGCAATCATACTTTCCAATTTGAGCCAGAAGCATAACAGATTTACTTCTTCTGAAACAATGGTTTTGAGCCCAAAACCATGGCTTTGGCCCAAAACCGTGGTTTGTCCATTTGTCCCCTTGTTTGGCAAATTTCTAACCTGGACCATGGTTTGGGTATTTTGCCAAACAAGCCCTAAATTCAATAGTACTCAATTACGTTTGGAAACAACATTATGCTCATTTTATTATTTATTACGAACTATACACTTATGGTGCATGCCAGCTGATGAACATTATTTCTATGTTGTGAGTAGTGATTATTTTAATAATGCAATTTGCTATAATTAAATAGTAAAATCTATATAAAGTCATCCTATTTATAAACCTCAACTTTAAGTCATACTTTAGAAGAGTAATTAATTCGAAATAATTGAACGCTAAAAAACCATGATAGGTATCTAATTCATTCTTTTTTTTCCCTGAATGTGTCACTTTGATGTGAAATTATATATTTTAATATGAATTGCTTATCAAATATAATCTTACACAAATTGTGAGTGGAAATATTGTAAAGTAAATAGAAATAAAGCCTACCTGTGTGATTTGTAGACCTTCACGGAAGAATGAAGATTACGATACATGAACGATGAGGGGGAGTGAGAGAGGCGGAAGATCTTGACAGAGTTCGAAGAAGGGACGGGAATAAAGGAAAGGTGAAGATTCTTACAGAAAAGAAACCAAATAATAATAACAACAGCAGCAGCATGGAAATCATTTCCATAAGGATTGAGTTACAAACTCCATCAGGTGCTTCTTTATGAATACTTCTGAGATATTTAAACATTTTATTCCCTTATTTTATTCTAGACCGTTATAATTCGAATGGTTAGTAGAGCTGTCAATAAGGGCCAGCCCGGCCCTAAAGGGCTGGCCCTTGAAGGGTCAGGGCCTAAAAGGGCTGGCCCTTTAAAACCCACATACCTTAAAATTATCTAATTATTAAAGCCCGGCCCTTAGGCATGTGGGCTCAGGGCTTAAAAGGGCTGGCCCTTTTATGTTATTTTTTAAAATTTAAATTATTTTAAAATAAAAAATAAAACAACAAAACTTCTAAGATTTTTATTCAAATTATAAATATAATTAAAATAAATTAGTGGTGTATAGAAAAAAAATTAAATGCCAATAAACTATTGTCCAAAATAAATAAAAAATCAAAATCTAACAAAACACGAAAAACAGAAAGATAAAACCTAGCAGTTAAAGATTAACAATATCAACATAATTATTATCTTTATCTTCATCTTCATCAGTATCATCAAGCTCAGCAATATTTGATTGTTCTTTACTACAAGTGAGCTCTTCTTCAGTGATAAAAATATTAAGGTTTTTGTCTTCATTTACCTTATCTGAAATAAAACTATGCAGTAGTTATAAGTACAAATAAGAACATGAACATTTGTTCGAATAAGAAAAGTTTTACACTTTGTTAAGATATGTAAACCGATGGTAAATGAAGATCTACTAGCTATTATGGTGATTAAAATGTTAATAATATCAGTTACCTTCTTGAAAGAATTGAAAATTGATTTTAACTGTTCTTCCACAAGTCCAAGACATTTAATTCTTTTCAATTATCTAGCTTGAGTATTGACTCTTCTAGGTATTTTTCTAATTTAAACTTATTCATAAAAGACTAATCTATAA